AAATGGTGATGGACAAATAAAAAAACTCACTGGAGGAGTCAGCTCCGTAAATATGCCCATCCTCAATTATGGAAGAGCCCAGCGCATAGCGCAGAAGATAAGCCTGAAGCACTCATAGCAGTCTTCAACCAGGAGTGCCGATTGGATTATCTATCTAGTCTCCAGCCTATTTGATTCACTCCATGTGATACTGCGCTCGAGTACTAGCCATTCCCTAGCTTAGCTGTTCCAATACTGTTTAAAACACTGGCATCTGGCAGTTTGGAAAATTGGAAAATTGCCGACGTATGTCCTGTACACAAAAAGCCAAATCCAACCCAACCAATTACTGCCTCAGTCTACTCTCGATCATTAGTAAAGTGATGATCAGTGCTATCAAGTAGCATCTGCTCACCAATAACCTGTTCAGTGACGCCCAGTTTGGGTTCTGCCAGGGCCTCCTGGCCTCATTACAACCTTGGTTCAAACATGGACAAAAGGCTAAATTCCAGAGGTGAGGTGACAGTCCCAGCCTATGAAATCAAGGCTGCTTTTGACCAAGTTTGGCATCAAGGAGCCCTCGCAAAACTAGAATCGTTTTGTATCAGGAGACAAACTCTCCACTAGTTGGAGTCATACCCGACACATAGGAAGATGGTTGTGGTGGTTGGTGGTCAATCATCTCCACACCAGGACAGCCCTACACTGGTTCCTCACATTAATATCCTAGGCCCAACCATTTTTATATGCTTCATCAATGACCTTCCCTCCTCCATTAAATCAGAAGTGGGGATGCTCACCAATGATTGTAAAACGTTCAGTGCTATTCGCGACTCCTCCGATACTAAAGCAGTCCACGTCCAATTGCAGCAAGACCTGGAAAATATTCAGGCTTGGGCTGACAAGTGGCAGGTAATATTGGCACCACACAAATGCCAGGCAATGACCATCTCCAATGAAAGAATCAAAACACCACTCTTTGATATTTAAGGGTGTTAGCACTGAATCCCCCACTAACAACATCCTTGTGTTTGCCATTGACCAGAAACTCAACTGGATATGCCACATAAATACAGCAGCTACAAGAGCAGGTCAGAGGCTAGGAATATTGCAATGAGTAACTCACCTGCCTCCTCATAGACACTCCACCATCTACAAGACACAAGTCAGGAGTGTGATGGAATACTACCCATTTGCCTGGATGGGTACAGCTTCAACAATACTCAAGAAGCTTGACACCATCCAGGGCAAAGCAGCCCACTTGATTGGCATTGCATCCACCACTGATGCTCAGTAGCAGCAGTATGTCCTATCTACAAGATTTTTTATTCATTCATGAGGTGAGGGTGTTGCTGGCTAGGCCAGTGTTTGTTGCCCAATTAAGAGCCAACCACATTACTGTGGGTCTAGACTCACATGAAACCAGATAAGGATGGCAGTTTCCTGCCTGGAGAGAGAGAAGAGCAGTTGGAAAGACAAAGGATAGACAAAGATAACTATCTGGCTAGGAGGGTGAAGAGTTGTTAATGGGGACTGTTAGTGACATAAAAACCCATCTGGTTCACTAATATCCTTTAGGAAAGGAAATCTGCTGACCTACATGTGACACCAGACCCACAACAATGTGGCCTGGCAAGCCAATTAGTTCAAGGGCATTGAGGGAAGGGCAACAACTGTCGGAGATGCTCAAATCCCAAAGAATTATAACAAATAAGTAAAGGGAGCTCACAATTCATTCAATGAATCAATCCCCAGAATTAATTAATTGGCAGGACAGCACTATCCCAGAATGATTCCTAGAAGCAACAGCTTTTTCCAGACTTCAGAATTCAGTTGGATGACTGGTTACAACAAATAGCACTTTCCAGTAGATTATTTCCAAGGTACCGATTGCATGTTCACTATTTATTAAACTCACAAGGTACAATTTAGATCAAATATATTTTTATTACTGCAATTCAAAGATGCTGATCATTTATTTTGGTAGGTGAAATCATTAGTACAGTAATTAAAATCTAGCTTTTGGGCATCTGTGACTCAAGTAATGCTGCATGCTTACAGGGTTGTGGAGCTGGAGGAGGATGCAGAAATATGGAAGAGGTGTGGGATGATGCCATGGTTTGATCATAGGAGTGAGTATTTTAAATTTGAGGTGTTTCTTAATCAATAGTCAACGCAGATCAGTGAGTTTTGGAATAAAAGGTGACTAGGACAGAGTGAGTTAGGATACCGGTAGCACAGTTGTGGGAACAGCTGAAGTTTACAAAAGGTATTTGGTGAGATACTGTGATAAGCCCCACAAGTGCACAGGCAAATCACGAATTAATCTCTTCTTGGAGCTGGTTGAGTGAGAGTTCACTTGGTAATGAGTAATGGCCTGCCCAGCTGGAACTCATCACCCAAACCCTGCCCTCTTGTCTATGTACCTCTGGACCAGGAGGCCCAAGTTCAAGATCCACCTGCTCCAGAAGTGTGTCATAACATCTCTAAATGAGTTGATCAAAAACTATCTCGGGCTAAAGGAATCAAAGGCATAGGGAGGGAGCAGGAACAGGGAACTATGTTGAATGATAAGCTATGATCATGCTGAACGGTGAGGCAGGCTCAAGGGGTCACATGGCCTGCTCTTGCTCCTATTTCTAAAAAATTCAGACCCAAGGACAGGTCTGCAGAACTGTCTGTCCTGGGCTGGGACTAGGCTATGTACACCACAAGTAGTGGCTCTAGTTTGGTGTTCAATAATAAATGATGTTCCTTTTGAGTTGGGCTTCCTGAATTATTACACTGGTGATGGCAGTAAACAGAAGTTTCAGACACCCTTGCCTTTCAATGAACCCACTAAGACCATGACGGGGAAATATTGGAAATGTTGCTGTTTGGGACACTGGAACCGTATAATGCAGGTGTGGAGGATTAGCACCAGTACACTGAAAGAATGTGATATTTTTTCAGACAAACAGGATAGAAGGAGATCACTGACAAAAACAAAATCATTCTCCTGACCAGTTGTGGAGCCCCCACTTCCAGCATCATGAAGATTGAAACCACCTGGTGGACCCGGAGTCAAGGTGTTTTGATAAACTGATAGATATGGTTTTAGACCATTATGACCCTAAACTGTCTGTTATATTGCAGCATTACAGGCCCTTTGAGCAAATAGAGTACCAGGGAAACCAGATATTGAATTCTTGTAAAGACTTGGGAAATTGGTGGAACACAGACAACAGTCAACACTTTGCTAAATTCTTTATTCATTCACAGGATGAGGGCATTGCTGGCTAGGTAGCATTTATTGCCCATCCCTAATGGCCCATAGGACCATTAAGAGTCAACCACATTGCTGCGGGTCTGGAGTCACATGTAGTCCAGACAAGGTAAGAAAGGTAGTTTCCTTACCTAAGGGACATTAGTGAACCAGATGGGTTTTTCCAATAATCGGCAATGGTTTCATGGTCATCATTAGATTCTTAATTCCAGATATTTATTGAATTCAAATTTTACCATCTGCCATGGTGGGATTCAAACCCAGGTCCCCAGAACGTTATCTTGGTCTCTGGATTAACAGTCCAGTGATAAACCACTAGGCCATCACCTCCCCCGAAATGATCCTAAGGGATCACTTAGTTTATGAAATTAATAATGTTGCAACCTAAAGAAATCTACTGACTGAACCAAATCTGGACTTCAAAGCTGTAGAACTGGCCCTATCCCACAAAAATGTGAAATAAAGGGGCTCAGGAGCTTCAGGGGCCCATAGACGGTACCATCCTCAACTTTGGGATACCCATATATCACAGAGCCAAGTCCCCAGCAGACAAACTCATGGCTCCCATTGGTTGACAAGGAAGGGAGATTGGAGTCAGCGGCTGAAAGGTTCCAGAACTGGACATAAGAACATAAGAACCAGGAGCAGGAGTAGGCCATCTGACCCCTCAAGCCTGCTCTGCCATTCAACAAGATCTTGGCTGATCTTTTCATGGACTCAGCTCCTCTTACGCACCCAATCACCATAACTCTTAATTCCTTTACTGTTCCAAAATCTATCTTTGCCTTAAAACAGTCAATAAGGAAGCCTCTACTTCTTCACTGGGCAACATAAATACTTCAAGGTATTGAAGCTGGCATTTTTGTATCGTAAAGAATATGGGGTTGGAAATGGACCTCTCACAAACAGCATGGCTCATCCTCAGACATTCAGAGACAGGGACAGAGATAGCAGCTAGGGAGTGGAATTTGTGGCGTGCTGGCTGTTGACAGCTTCGGTCTTCTGAATAATAGGTTGGAGGACATCTCTGCTCATCCAGTATTAGATAATAGACTAACCAAACACAATGGCTGTGACTCACCAGATAAGAATGGAACCAGTGAGGCAAGGCCATCAAGCTACATGACAGTGGAAGGACGTTGGAGGAGGATCAAAAGCTAATGCAGTTCGAGAGGGTTGTGAAGAAA